TAAAGCAAAAGCACTGAAGCAATATCTAGAGAAGTACAAAATGCATATTAAGTCTCTTTCAGGTCTGGATTTCACCAGGTAGGCATAATGTGAGGAAGCTCAGTTCTAAATTTTTCTTATTCTGCTAATGACAAAACTGAATGATTCTGTGGATTTGTGGATTAATGACTTTAAATCCTCAGATTTAATGAGAGGTCTGCTGGCTGAGGCTCTAGTTAAACTATCATCTCACGCAGATTTTTATTGTGCCTTGGACACGTTGAAAATCTGATCAACGTGATTCTATGGGGAAAGCCAGGAGCTTTCACCATGTCGTTTTGGTATGTTCCTTCCACAAGGTTATAAACACACAAAGGCCAATTACACCTTCAAATGTCCATTTCCTTCACTGCCTTGAAATCCAGGCAAGCTGCTGTGTTAACATTTCTTCAGGGGAATGGTTGAACTCTGCATCCTGAAGGCCCTTATTGCTGTCAACCAGGTCAACAAAGGATGCAAGGAAACAGGCAAAAGGAAAAGGGCAACACATGTAACTGCACAGGTCCCCCTGCAATACTGCCTGGATACCACAGTCAACCTCCATGCGCTGGTTTGGGCTGGAATAGAGTTCATTATCTCCACAGCATGGATGTGGCTATGTTTTGGATTTGTGCTGGAAGCATTGTTGATAACAGGGGTGTTTTTGTTACTGCTGAGCAGTGCTTATACAGAGTTGAGACCTTTTCTGCCTCTCAGGACACCCCACCAGTGAGTGTGGGGGTGCATAAGGAGCTGGGTGGGGATACAGCTGGGACAGCTCACCCAGGGGTATCCCACACCATGTGATTTCTTGCTCAGCATATAAGGCTGGGGAACAAAGGAGGAAGGGTGGGATGTTCAGAGCGATGGCATCTGTGTTCCCAAGTCACTGTTGAGTGTGACTGAGCTCTGCTCTCTTGGAGGTGGCTGAACACCTGCCTGCCCATGGGAAGTGGTGCATGAATTCCTTGTTTTGCTCTGCTTGTGTGCATGATTGTTGCTTTACTTATCAAACTGTCTTTATCCAAACTCATGTGTTTTCCCTTCTGATTCTCTCCCCCATCCCACTGGGGATGACTGAGCAGCTGCTGGTGCTCAGTTGTTGACTGTGGTTAAATCACGGCACGCCATCATGAAAAGAAATGCAGTATGACAGGGATGGCCAGATGTGACTTCCTGTATATACAAATACCAGAATCTAATTATGCTTTCAGTTAACAAGCAAAGGAACACTTGGGGCATAACCTTAAAGCTCTTTTTTTCCTGACCTCTTATCAACATTTCCAAACACTGAACTAGGCTTTTGCAAACTGAATATTGAGGGCTAATCTTTAATTTCTGCCTCTTATGGATGCTTTCTTAATTTTGTGTTTTCCAGAGTAGGAGTTGACCCTTGGTCTCACTTGCCTCTTGGTCTTGTACTGCAGCCTTTTCAGAATCCTAAATTCAGACCTGTAATCTATTTTGAAGGCAGTTTAGGTCAAGTCTTCACTTGATTTTGCTCTGGTAGCCCAAAAGATAGATCAATAGAGGGTCAACAAGAAATTTTTTCAGGAGTCTGCTTTGTAGGCTTTGTGTGTTCCTGTTTGCCTTCAGGTGGCATTTCCATCACCGGGATGGCAAATGAATGGTGTGTCTGCTTGCTTCCCTGGTGACCCCAGCTTTTAGTAGTCCCTCACTCAGCACATGGTCTTTTTCCCATGCGTGGTTCCCATAGCTGTGAATTTAAAGGTTGGGATCTGGAGCATCTAAGTTCTGTGGCTCTCTGGGAAGGCCTATCAAACTCATCCTTATTTACTAAATTGTGTCGTTCAAAGGGAGCATTACAGATACTTTGAACTTGGAGACAGATTGCAGGAGACATCTGTTCATATCTATGTAGATGTTTTATGCGCTTTTTAACAAGGCAGCTGAGTCCTCTACAAATAAACAGAGTTCTTTTTTTAGTTGTGCTTTAACCCTTATCCTGCATGAGGAATTTATTTTAAAAGCTTGAGTTTTTTGGGTTATATTGATTTTTGCAACTCTGATTGCTAGAGCAAGTCTTCACAAAACCTGGCAGACAACCATAGTTTGACTAAAATTCCAAACAACCAGTTTTCCTGAGGAAAATTATGCTGAAAGCACCCTCCCACACACTTTTTTTTTGTTTAAAAGTTATCTTGCGAGATACAAATCATCATCAATTTCCCAGGGTTAAAATCTTGAGTCTTTGACTTACTCAGAGCATTTCTTTTGCCTGGAGGAAGATGCTAAGTCTGGAGGTAAAGTAACCACTGCAACAGCAAGGAATGAACAGAAAACACCTGCATTTGGCAACTGGATCCTGTTCCAGTTAGGTTTTTGAGTACTTTACAGAAGCCATTCTGTCTTCAATGAATTCAGCACTCAGAAAGATACCTGTCAGCCTTCAAGCACTTTTACAGTAAACTGTATGGCAGCAGAGAACATGCTAGAAATCCTTACCATTCCTAGTTCTATAGAAAACTGTGTGCCTAGTGAGAACAAATAAAGCAGTCTCAATTTTCTTTACTAAGAGTTCAGGTCCAACCTGAACTCCAAGTGAATCACAGGGCAAAAATGTTAATTTCCTCTATCAGCCTTCCCAGTGGCAATTTTTTTTTTTGGAAGGATATTCCACAAAATTAATTTGAAGAATACCAATACTCTTAGGATTAAGCAACCAAGATCAGACTAGATGCTGATTAAGCTAGCATAGAAACCTTAGGAGATGTGAATTTGTCTGGGGGGTATTTTTTAGCTACTAGATATAAATAAAATTCTCTGCTGACTTACCTAGGTTTGTTGAAACAAAACAATTTGCAACAGCCTCTTTAGGTATGTTATCTATAAAAATATCAATTTTGACCAATTTGGGAAATGACATACACAAATACATCAAGACTAGCCCTAGATTATTTCTGTCTGATGGAGTAAAAGGGTAAAAATTATTATCAGTATCATGCTTAACATTGCATATAATCACTAGGTACAGCCTTGTGCAATGATATTCAGGCAACTTTCCAGCCCTTTGCTCTGGAAACCTTCGCATGAACTCCATTCAGAGGTACAAAGAATGGGTTAGAAAAGGAGTATTTCTGAGTTGATGTGGGCTTGACAAATTCTCAGTACCCTGAACTAATACAACCACGTCTACCTTACTGTCTGGCTTCTAAAAATATGTCTCTGTCGAACCTGAATATCATCTCTTCTGTTAATGGATGACGTACCCAGCAGTGAATAGAGCTTTATGATCCTTGCACAGTTTGCACAGCAGAAAATCTGTTAGCAGAGTTTCCTGAGTAACACTGTTCATTTATGTTACATTCATCTCCTATAAAGCATGTCAGACAGGCAAGGAATGTGAAAGAAGCCTTGGTAGTGGTGTGGTGTTGTGAGATTTGTGATATGCAGATTTAATTTTCCCTCTCTATTTGACCCAAAACCTGCAGTCACACCCAGCAGTTTCCCAGGTCTAGTACAATAAATAGGCACTAAGCTGTGAAAAATGCACTGAACTGTTTGTAAAAATCAGGTTTTGGAACAAAAGCAGATTTAAAGAAATAAGTTTGCTAGAAACTTAGGATAGCCACATTTATTGCCTGTATTTCCAGATTTTGGATGGGTTTGCAGTTTTAATTGGAAAACTCACAACAACTATTTGCACTCAGGAGCAGGCATCCTCCTAAACTTCTGCCACTGATCCCCAAGCAAAGAAAGGGTAGTGACAGACTGGGGTGGGTGCACTTACCCTCTCAGGGGCTTACAAGCCCAGAAAGTGGCAAAAAGCCTGAAATAAAGCCTTGCACAATGCTAAGATATTCAGACGCCTATCATCTTGTATTTTAAACTTTAAAACTCTTCTGGAGTCAAAAATTTAGGGCACATATTTTTAATTTAAGAAGATTTAATCTTTCATTCTTCCCCATTCTTTCTTCTTCCTGTAAAATCATGTATTTTTTTTTGTAACTGAATTTAACTCTAATCACCTATGTGGAGACCTAGGCAGTTTTATTAAAAACAAAGTAAGGCTGGTATCTATCACAGTATTTCTTTGTTGTGATCTTACGAGTTTTTGTTTGGCTGAAGGAAGGAGTTTCTAAATGAAGGGTCAAATTCAGGTTCCAGTGAAATCAGGATACTATTGACACGTGACAATGGGACCAAAATTTTCATCAAGTCCATTCATTCTACCAAGAGCAAGAAAATTCTTCATCTAAACCATGTTTAAAAAAAGAAATTTAATGGCCCACTGCCAGAAACTTTCCAGTAAATGTGAAGATTTTGCTTGTTCTTGCAGAAACGTGTGGTTTAGACCTACGATAAGGCTTGGATGACATTTACTGTCTGAGATGAAGTTCTGAAACCTTCAGAAACATTAGGTTGTTTTGAAATTCTGCGCTATTGTTTCTAATAATTTATTTCTCTGGGGCTGATCCCAGCATGACAGTGAAATGCCAAAGGCTCCGGCGGGCTCTCTCAGGACCAAACCAGCATCTCTTACCTACAAGTCACTTTGCCTTGGCTAGAAGCCAGATCGGGGTGCGCAGGCTGATGCTGACAGACCTCCATTTGCTCTGCACGACTAGGACAGTTTTATTCGCAATTATTTAAGCGCTGCTTTACCTGACTGTGAGGGAGCTCTCCGGGAGCACGGTTCCGGCAGAGCAGCCCTTCCAGCTGCCCAGCCCGGGGGCTCCGGGGGCCGGCGAGGGCTGTGGGTCCCTGTTCCCTGGGCTCAGAGCTTTCGGGGCGGAGCGGCCCGGGTCCCGTGGCGGGGCGAGCGGGCGGCGGTGCCGGGGGAAGGAGGGGGCTGGCGTCAGGAGCTGGGCAGCCACTGCCGCGGGAGCTCCCCCGCGCCTCGCCTCGCCTCCCGCGGCCGCGGGGGATAAAGGCACCCGGCCCGGCTCTCCGGGCCACCGGAGGGGGAAAGGCGGGCGAGAGGACGTGCGGGGGCCGGGCCCCACCGCGCAGCCCCCTCCATGCGCCTCGCCGGCGGCTCCGGCTCGCCCCGGGCTGTGCCCTCTCCCGGGAATGGCAGCCGGTGGCGGGCGGCGGAGCCCGGCGGCGGCAGCAGCCCCAGTCCCGAGGCGTGGTCGGGGTCTCCGAACGGCAGCCTGGGCGGCTGGGACCCCTTCGGGCGGGACGAGGAGCTGGCGAAGCTGGAGATCGCGGTGCTGGCCGTCACCTTCGCGGTGGCGGTGGTGGGGAACGGCAGCGTGCTGCTGGCCCTGCGGCGCACACCGCGCAAGGCGTCCCGCATGCACCTCTTCATCCGCCACCTCAGCCTGGCCGACCTGGTGGTGGCCTTCTTCCAGGTGCTGCCCCAGCTCTGCTGGGAGGTGACCCACCGCTTCCACGGCCCCGACGGGCTCTGCCGCGTCGTCAAGCACCTGCAGGTCTTCGGCATGTTCGCCTCGGCGTACATGCTGGTGGCCATGACCGCCGACCGCTACATCGCCGTGTGCCACCCGCTGAAGACGCTGCAGCAGCCCACCAAGCGCTCGTACGGGATGATAGCGGCTGCCTGGGCGCTCAGCCTGCTGCTCAGCACCCCGCAGTACTTCATCTTCTCCCTCAGCGAAGTGGAGCGCGGCTCGCAGGTCTACGACTGCTGGGCGCACTTCATCATGCCCTGGGGGCCCCGCGCCTACATCACTTGGATCACCGGCGGCATCTTCATCGCGCCCGTCCTCATCCTCATCATCTGCTACGGCTTCATCTGCTACCGCATCTGGCGCAACGTCCGGGGCAAGACGCGCCCGGGGGAGGCGGCGGCAGCGGCTGCCGGGCGGCGGGCAGGTGATGATGCTGGCCCGCGACGGGGGCTGCTGCTCGCCCCTTGTGTCAGCAACGTCAAAACCATCTCCCGGGCCAAGATCCGCACCGTCAAGATGACCTTCGTCATCGTCTCGGTGTACGTCGTTTGCTGGGCGCCCTTCTTCACCATCCAGATGTGGTCCGTCTGGGACCAGCGCTTCCCCTGGGTCGGTAGGTGACGCCGCCGCTTGTCCCCAGCGGCCGCCCCGCTGGCGTTGTGGGGGCAGCCGGCTGTCCCGGGCGCTGCGCAGCGCTGAGCCGAGCGTGGGGGAAACGGGGCGCGGAAGCGGTGAGCGGGACCGAGGCGCGCACTCCCGGCCCCGCACCGGTCCCTCTCCTGCCGGGGAACAGCGGCTGAGCGCCCTTGTGGGGGAGAAGAGACAGCCCTGGGCAGCCGCCGCCCTCGGGGCCGCCCCGCCGGCACCGCTCGTAGTCCCGGAGCCGGTGCTCCCGGAGCTGGTGGTCCCGGAGCTGGTGGCCCCGGGAGCGGCGGCGGCGGCGCTCGGCTCCGCCTGTCCGGGAGCAGCCGGAGCTGGCCGCAGCTGCGCCTCCGGACAGGAGCAGCAGCCGCAGCCTTCTCGCTCCGAGCAAAACGAGAGGATGAAAACCGGAGTATTTGCTGCCGTAATTTGAACCAGCAGCGCTTTCGTCCGTTTAAAGCTGCCGATAAGAAAACTTTAGAAATATTTAGTATTGTTTGGAAGCATGCACACACACATGTCAGAGCAGTTACATGAATTGAGAACTTAGTACGTCTTCTTTCCTCTATCTGCTAATAATAGAGTTGAGCACACCCTGAACCCTTCCTCTCAGCAAGGCAGTCATCTCTGAGTAGCTCCACCAGTCAAGTCACCGGTTTTCATGAATCAGTGGCAATTCAGACTTTGGAGATATCTGTCCCTCTGTTAAATATGGCTGAAAAAAATTGGTGAGTTTAAAAGCTATCACATAGGTAATGGCAGGCAGCATAGTGACATATATTCTGTTTCCTCATAATGAGAGAGCAGCAAATCAAATTGTTGCAATCCATAATTTCTCGATTTTTAAAAAATTTTCCCTAAATTCTCACTTACTGTAGTGAGAGCGCTGATTGCCTCTAATACGGGACTAGTCAAGCCTATAATGCAGATTTCCATAAAGTAATAAAGGCTTGCAGTAAACAAATAGGTTTATTTTTTTACTTCAAAGGAAATTAAATATAATTGAACAGATGGATATTTGATAGGTTTGTTTGAATAACATACTGTGTTTGAATAACATACTGTGTTTGTTTGAATAATATACTATGAATAACTGCATAACACCGTAATTACACTTTTTTGGAGATTCAGTATTTATAATACTGAATAATATTGAAAAATAATAAGAAAAGTCACTAATTGATTAGACCAAATGCACATTTAAAGTATTTGATCTATTGACTAGTTATTGAAGGTAGAACATTATCATTTTTTCATACCATAGTCTTAAGTTCCATTTTCTCCCTTAAGTAAAATTTGTTCAAAGTCCACAATCCAGATTTGATGGACAATCCCGTAGTTAGTTGAGCATTCAATACTTTTCAGCATGCAAATATATAGAGCAAAATTCAGTGTTATTGAAAGCAGTGGAAATGTTACCATTGTCTTCCAGAGTCTGCAAAAAACTTTTCAGTATTTAAAGCGGGAGCTTATCAACACATGGATACACATCAGTGGAAATGTGACTAAATCATTATTTTGGATGGATTACCCCATAACTTATTCTGTCACAGCTTTTTGAAGTCTGTTCAGAAAAATCCCTGTTGACTTCAATGGCAGCCTTACATAAATGAGACCTGTACTGATTATGTTCTCATTATTTGTTTCAAATGCTGCGGCTCAACATTTAGAACTAGAATATTCAGGAAAATAAATCCAATGGTTAATGAAGCAGTTGACTGAATGGTGCACAAGTTCTTTTGATGATTAAATAGCTTTCTCCCCCCCCTCCCCAGATTCTGAAAACACTGCGACTACTGTTACGGCTCTGCTGGCCAGCCTGAACAGTTGCTGTAACCCGTGGATCTACATGTTCTTCAGTGGGCACCTCCTCCAAGACTGCCTACAGAGCTTCCCTTGCTGCCAAAAAATAAAGCTAACGCTGAGTAAAGAAGATTCAAACAGCAATAGCAGGCGACAGACTTCTTTCACCAACAACAGAAGCCCAACCCACAGCCTAAACACATGGAGAGAGATGCCCCACTCCAAATCGACCAGCTTCATCCCCATTCCAACGTGAGACAGGCCTCAGGGCAGGCAGGGCTTGCAGTCCCATCATGGTGTTTGGGAAGGTTGTGGCATGGCACTTTATGCCAGGGCAGGGCACCATCATGGTACCGAGGAATGACTAAGATGGCCCTGAGACAAAAAGTGCCACCTTGCTTGATAAGCTATGCTGCAGATTGTAAATTGTTTTCTGAAAGTTATTTAGGATTTGGGCAACTGATCAGGAAGGTGTGACAACAATAAAGCAATTATTTTTTAAAATAGAATTTATTTTAATTTTTTGTCTGTTTCTAAAATACTAAGTGCATTGTTTGCTTGCTGTTTAAAACAGCAAAAGTAATGGAGTTGTCATCTCTTGCAGTAACTCCACTCTCTAGTGTTAATGCCTAAGACTTCTCATGATTGTCTGATGAAGTCAAGGGGAAAAAAGACAATATGAGCAAGATTACAGTTTAGTCTCAAACATTAAAAGAAAGGAGTGGGGAAAAAGTCTTGGCTGTCCAGGTAAGGAATGGGCTTAGACAGACTCTGAGTTGCTGGAATTCAGTTGCTCATGATGCTTCATCTTGTAAAGGTCTAGCAGTTCTCAGACACTGAGATTTAACAGCCCTTGTGAAGGCAAAGCTTTCAGTGCTGTCGATGTCTGTATGTGTATTGTGGGGTTTCATTTTTAGGGTGACATTTTCTCTTCCCTTCATGTTGATGGAAATTTTACAGCATATTTATGTGTGTTTGTGTGTGTGTTATTGCACCCACTTTCATTTTTTAAACTAATTTTTAAAATATATTGATAAGTAAGTATGATATGCTATGACTAGCTCAGCACCATTACAAACAGCTACACCAAGAAAACTCATATTGAATACCAGAACCACTTGCTTTATTGGTAGGAATGCTATCCTTTATTTTTTAATTTACTAAGACATCTAGGATCAAGCTACACTGGTTGTCAAGCAAATAGCCTCATGAGCTCAGGAGTGTGTAGTCATTTGGTAAGAGCTGTAGAACCAGTATATTTCAAGAAACAGATCTGAGAATGAAACTTTCAAGTCTTCTGGGAACATACAGAAATTGTCAGTGTTGTTGGCTTGTCTTTTTTTATTACTATTTATATTGACAGCTCATGACAATATAGTCTTAAAAACTGTCACTAAACGGCAATAAAAAGTCATCAGAACACATTTGCTAATTACAAAGCACTCAAGGTGTGTTTGTTTTCAATACAATGCATGCTAAGTTGAGTAGTTCATTTACATGGTAAACAATCCTATTACATCTTTCCTTGCAGCATATCTCTTTTATAGAGGTAGGGTTTTGAAGCTCCTTGAGTAAGTTTTGCTGAGTTTTTAAGTCTTCAGAATCTCTTTGAGAAGTACAACTACCAGTCTGCTCTGTTTTCTTGAGCTTGTCGGATCCTGAAATCCAGGCACTCCCCCAGCCCCCTGAAGGACACAGTCCCAGCGGGAGCAGTGGGACACGAGCTTGGCTCATAACTTGCATGCAAAGGAGGAAGCTCAGCAGCAGGTTTCTTTCCTTCTCACCAAAACCTAACAAACAAGATTGCTTTTCTAACTGCTTGAGGAGATGTGGCTGTCACTGAGGAGGATGCCCATGCCTGCCTCAATAATGGTAGCAGAATTTAATAGTTAGGTGCAGAATAAGATCATCTTAAACCACTCCAGATGTTCCCCATTGATTATTTTGGGCAAAGAATAGGGAATATTATACCTAAAAGAAAAATATTTTGTCACTATAGAAAATCTTGGGTCCATTCTCTTATTTCCTTGTGTTTGCTGTTGTTCAAAGCACTAGAACCCAGAGGACAGTGTGGTGGAACTGCTTATATTTAACAGACTGTCTTTTCGACCACCTTTAAGATACAAATGTGACTACAGCTCTCACCAACTCTGGACGAAGGTTTGTGAACCTGAAGCTATATTTTAGTAAAAAAAAATGCATGCAGTGATGTTGTGTGTGTGTTTGTGCACATGATGTATACTGTATATATTGTTCAAGTAGGTAATTCACAGTTACTGAAACTGCATTTTAAATTAAGTACACTATCCTTTGCCTAGTTTTCTCTTTGTGCTATGACTTTCTTTGTACATGAAATCTGTATTAAAAACCAATTAGCTGTACTAACAGAATTTTCATGTTTGCCTAATTGAATGGTTTTTCTATTACACTTTACATTCAAACAGAAAAGATAATGAAAAAATGTGTGTAGAATATTGTTGATAATAAAAATGAACCGGGTAATGACCAGTATATTTATTAAAGCAAACAGACACAAAGTATAAATTTAGGTTTTTTTCAAATACATTACAAAATCTAGGCTTACACTTGGGGCTTGTCAGCATAAATTTCCCTTGTGAGTGTCCTGTAGTTTCTGTAATTAAACTGACAACACAATTTATCAATATTTGGTTTACAGACATTTTTGTAAATACTGTTTTTTTCACATAATTGTAATGTAATGAAGATACAGCCAATATTTTTTAATTGCTCATCTGTGGAGATACTTTTTTAAAAGCTACTTTGGGTTATCATGAGGGTGCCCTAATGGAATCAGAAGGAAACAAAAAAAAAAATTGTGAAGCCATTGCAAGTTTAAAATATGGAAACTTGCTCTAATAAACCTGCATATTTGTTTGATCAGAAGCATTTTGGGTTTTTTGCTTTTGGAGGGCCAGAAATGTATTTCATAATGCTAAATAGATTTTACAAAATTCAAAATGTCTTCCTTTAATAAGTTGTGTCCATGAAAAGCTTTAAGAAGCCAAGAAAACTAAAATGTTTTTCTATTATACATAGTGCATGAAAGACACAAGCAAAGAAGGAATGTGCAATCAGCTTTCCATTATATGCTGCTGGTGTTGCTAAAACATAACTGAGCACTTACTCATGTTCTAAAGGGGTTATTTTGTTATTTTTGTTTAAAATACTTCTAGCATAAAGCATGACTGAATGGATGAGCCTGTACTCTGTTGTTTGTAGTGGTGTTTTTAGAATTCAAGCATTTTAAATTCAATTAGATGGCAAAAGTGGGGATGATACAGAAGATGGAAAGGATTTCGTTCATTTATATAAGAAACTAAGTTGCCAAAATTGTCTTTTCATTAATTTAATTTTAAATTTGAAAGCAAACATAGGCTCTGGAAAAAAACCCAAAAAGCAACCCAAAAAAGTTTGGTTTATTTCCCCTGTGTTACCATATCAAGACCAAAATTTACAAGAAGACAGAAATTCATGTCAAATGCCCAGTATTTCAAAGACAAAGGTTTTGTCTGCAGAAAATCTTATAGCTAATTCCAAACTGTCCAGATTGAAGGGGCTTGCTGAAGCACATGCATGTTCCTTTCCAACTCATGCATATGGAAAGCAGGGCAGAAGAAGGAAAGGCCCTGCAGAGCTGGATGTTGTCCTGGGGCAGGTGACCCAGCTTTGGGAAGTAGATTTCAACAGAGCTACTGTTGAAATAAGTTACTTGTTGCATTAAAAAAATAACTCTATGAGAGTTCTCCCAGGCTGAGTTCCCCACCTGCAAAAAGGACTAATTAAAAACAGCGTCCTCCTCTAAAAAAGTGTCTGCACTTTTTAGTTTCAGTCCCTTACATACATGGAAGACTGGGCAGGCAGAAAGACACTACTTAGAGCTGTAGTTACTCTTACAAGCTAATTCTCTATGCTTTTCTTTAGGAATGAGTTTTACAGGAAAATGTATCACTTGCTACTTGGGTAAAGGAATTACAGGATAAATAAATGGACGAGTTTCAAGGTCCAGGACTAGATCACAGCTGCTCCACTCAGTCCTGGGAGCAATCCTGACAACTTAGGTAACATGCCTCAGACAAGAGTAGGTGTAGCTGGTAAGTCATGCAGAATGGTTCATGCAGCTATGCAAAAAGCAAGCCAACAACAATCACAACAAGTTCCTGCTGAGCTTTGTTAGAGCCAGCCAGCACAGGTCTGCCTCTCCCAGGACTGGTCCTGCAGGAAGCCCTGGATCCAGTTCAGTGTTAATTAACAGTGCATCACTGTTTTGGTACAACTGCCCTGTAATTTGCCATGCCTTAGTATAAACTTGCTTAGAGTAATAGTTTACTTGCAAATTAGCCTTAGTTCTCCATAAGGACATTTTCAGCTGAATTCTTGATACAGTCCATTGGGTTATTTAATTTCTGAAAAGCAAGGCTGTGAGGCATCATCAGGAGTGCAAAGCTCTCTCTTCAGCTCCATGGTGAGAAGCTCTCTCTAGCTCTAGGTGGATCAAGATGTTGTTAGATATGGATGAACTTTCTTCCAGTAAAGGAAGAATCTTTTCCAGAATGCAAATATTTTTCCCATTTCCAACATTTGTTTTTCCAGCAGGGTAGATGGAAGAGGAGGCTTTGAGACAGAACATTTCTCAGTGTTCTGCAAGCCAAAGACACCTGAGTTATCCATCCTCAGTTCAGGGTAATGATGATTATCTATCGCCATAATTTCTTACAGGACACATGGCTAAGAAGTACTGTGTACAAGTTCAATATTCCTTTTGTAGCAAAGCATTGGCAATGCAGTCTGTTGGTGTCCTATCAGCCTTTACACCTATGTAGCAAAACATGACAATATTGACATTTGGCTGTCCAGGGCACAAAGCCCATTCTGGAAGATGTAGAACAGATAACCAGAGACTGGAGTGACTGTCCCAGCCTCTTCCACTGTGATTGTCCCTGCCATAGTCTCTCCTGACCCTGGTATTATTACCATTATCCCCATTATTGGCAGCAAGAATGGGGACAGGGACCGCAGGGACAGGAGCAGACAATTAAAGCACATTAATTTCAAAGTCCTTTTGGAGGGAGGAATGTGGATCTTATCAAATAAAAAACCCACAGTGAATATTGGGAGAGAGATGAACTGGTGACTCAGAGAGCAAATAAAACATCTGATCTCAAAGGTTATTTGAAAGTACCAAAATGCTTTCCATTTTTCAATTTTAAGATATGTTTTATGTATTTAGAAAAGGGC